ATGGGAAGTGGTCAAAATGTGAACATTAACAGGAATTTGGGAGAAGTTGATTTCAACCCTCATGGATGACTTTGAGGGGTTCAAGACTTCAGTGGAGGAAGTAACTGCAGATGTGGTAGAAATAGCAAGAGAACTGGAATTAGAAGTGGAGGCTGAACATGTGATTGAATTGCAACAATTTCAGGATCAAACCTTCACAGATGAGGAGTTACTTCTTATGGAAAAGCAAAGAAAGTGGTTTCTTTCTTTTTTTTTTTTTTTGCGGTACGCGGGCCTCTCACTGTTGTGGCCTCTCCTGTTGCGGAGCACAGGCTCCAGACGCGCAGGCTCAGCGGCCATGGCTTACAGGCCCAGCTGCTCTGCGGCATGTGGGATCCTCCCGGACCGGGGCACGAACCCGTGTCCCCTGCATCAGCAGGCGGACTCTCAACCACTGCGCCACCAGGGAAGCCCAAAAGTGGTTTCTTGAGACGGAATCTAATTCTGGTGAATGCTGTGAAGATTGTTGAAATGACAGCAAAGGGTTTAGAACATTACATAAACTTAGTTAAGAAAGCAGTGGCAGGGTTTGAGAGGATCGACTCCAATGTTGAAAGAAGTTCTACTGTGGGTAAAATGCTATCAAACAGCACTGTATGCTACAGAGAAATCGTTCATGGAAGGAAGAGTCAATGATGTGGAAAACGTCATTGTTGTCTTAATTTTAAGAAACTGCCACAGCCGCCCCAAACTTCAGCAACCACCACCCTGATCAGTCAGCAGCCATCAGCATACAGGCAAGACCCTCCCCCAGCAGAAAGATCACGACTCCCTGGAGACTCAGATGATAGTTAGCATTTTCTAGCAATAAGATCTTTTTACAATTAAGGTGTGTGTATTGATTTTTTAGACATAATGCTATTGCACACTTAACAGACTACAGTATATTGTAAACATAACTTTTATACGCACTGGGAAACCAAAAAATTCATGTGATTGCTTTATTGCAGTCTCTGCTTTATTTCAGTGGTCTGGAACAGAACCCACAAGGGTGGGTTGTACAAGGGTGTGCTTGTACAAACACCCTTGAAAAGATTGGCCAAAACAAAGGCAGTAAGGGCCTCTGCTCATAAAACATGCAGGAACACAAGAGCTGCATGATTTGTCTTCCAATACTTCTTTTCATGTCCGGTAATTTTGTTGATTACTCTGTTGGATGTGAGGTATGTTTCTATTTCTATAAATGTTCTTCAGTTTCATTCTAGGATCAGTTAAATTATTCAGAAACAGTTTGATCCTTTTAAGTCTTGTTTATAAGCTGGCTTGCAGGGGACAAGAGCAGCATTTAGTGAATTGCTAGTTTTGCTCCACTATTGAGGTAAACCCTTTCTGAGCCCTCTTGAGGTTTTAGGTTTTCCAGTCTGCCTGGTGGGAACGGGCACTCCTCTCAGCCCCATGCAAGCTCCAGGTATCATTCCCTCAAGTCCTTTAATGTTCTTTACCCAGCCTGTTATGCATGCGCAGATCAATACTCAGCTGAAGACTTGAGGGATTCCCTCTGTAGGTCTCTAGAGCGCTCCTTGTGTGGAGCTCTCTCCTCTCCAGGACTCTGCCCTGGAAACACTAGATGCTTGGCCTTCTAGGACTCTCAGCTCTGTGTCCTCAACTCAGGGAGTCTGGGGGGCTGTGCACTGTAGCCTGGAAAGTCTCTCCAGACAGTCAGCAGGGACAACCACAGGCCTCACCTCACTTCCTGACTCTCAGGCATCACTGAGACGTACCAAATTTTAATATGAATTGGTGCTTTTATTCTCCATGACAATGGAAAAACATTAGCATACTTTAATTTAACTCATCCCAATAAACGGCATTATTATGGTATATTTTATTTTATTAATTTTTTTACAGAGATTTTATTTTTATGTTTTAAACTTTTTAGTTTATATTGTAGTATAGTTGATTAACAATGTTGTGTTAGTTTCAGGTGTACAGCAAAGTCATTCAGTTATACATATACGTGTATCTAGTCTTTTTCAAATTCTTTTCCCATTTAGGTTGTTACATAATATTGAGCAGAGTTCCCTATTTTAATTCTAAGCATCTCTTAACTCCCATAGTACATTATTATTACAGTCATCATTATTAATTTGTACCATCAATACTCATTTACATTTATCCAACAATTACTATTTACCTTGCTTTTAATTCTTTCCTTCATCTTTGATCTTCTTTCTGGGATCAATGTCCCACCTGAAGAACACCAGAATTTTTTGGTGGTGAAGTTTGCTTTGTTTGGTCCAAAATGTTCTTAATTAACCTTTATTCTTGAAACATACATTTTCTCTGTGTTTAGAATCCATGGTCAGCAGCTATTCTGTTGTACTGTCTTTTTATTTCCGTCCCATCTTTTGCAAAGTTAGATATCAGTCCAGTTGTTTGATAATTGCTTTTGGATGTTCTGTTTATCTTTGGCTTTCAGGAACTTTACTATATGTGCCTGGTTGTAGATTTATTTTGCTTGGCGTTCAAAGGACTTTTGGAACATGTGGCTTAATATCCCTTCTTACCAGAATTTCTTCCAGTATTGCCCAATCCCCTCTCCCCTTTCTGTCTGGGATTCCAATTACATGTGTAATAGACTTTGTTATTTTATCCTCCATATCTTTTCCCTTTCTTTAGTTTGCCATTCTATGCTTCTCTCCTGTTTTTATTTTGGATATGTTCTTCTGACCTAACTTCTAGTTCATAAATTCTCTTTCATCTGTGTCTAATAAACCATAAACCCGCTCAATGAGTTCTTCATTTCAGTGTGGCATCTTTTACTTCTAGACTTTTTCTTTTTTGCTTTTTTTCTGTTTTGAATTCTCAGTTCTCAGCTAAGATTTTCACTCTTGTCTTTATCCCCCTTATAGTCTTGGTGTTTTATACTTTGTAACACTACTATTTTCAGCCCAAGAGGGCTTGCCACCCTTGACTGTTTGTTTTTCATGTTACCTCCTTTATTTTTTTCTGGCTATTTTTTGTCTGTGTGAGCTGGACATTATATCTGACAAATTGTTTATGTAAATGGTTTGAAACTTAGAATACTTTTTTTTCCCCATCTAGTATGTAATTTACATTTGTTTTTCTCAGGTACCTAGAGGGACTGGTAATCTAGGTTGATCTTAATATAATCTGGGGATTGAGATGATTCGAAGCTGAGCGGCAGTCTCGCAAGAGGCTGATCTACTGCTGTTTCATTCTTCCTGCTAAGGTATACATCTTTGGGGTTTCAACACGAAACACAGGGGTTTACCAGGGCCCTTTGCCCTTTTGAGCAGTGGGACTTAAGATGCTTTCTGCAGAATCAGCAAATGCCCTAAGGTAAAAACAGTTTCAAATTCTGTCTCTGTATGTCAGTTTTCATATATATTCATTTTATATATATATATATATATATATATATATATTTATTTATTTATTTATTTATTTTGGTCCAGGTTGTCTAGTGGGAGTAATGGTCTAAATTATTTAGATTCTCATTACTGAAAGTGAAAGTGTCTCCTTCTTTTTCTTTCTCATTTAAAATAATATACTATAATTTTCAAAGGTAAAAGCAACCATTTAAGTAAGCTCTTTTGATACTAATTTTGAAACAATTATTTCAACGTTTTCATACATTTAAATGAGTCTCTTATCACGTAGTCCTTTCCAACTGTGCCCTTCTCAGTCCTGAATGTTTCCTTCTTTTCTGTATTTATTGTTTCTGCACAGGCCTTTTGTTAGTTTCTTCAGAAAGGACACTTGGGTGGCATATTTTCTTAATCTTTCTATTCCTGAGAAAATATTACTCTTGACTTCATGCATGAATAATAACTTCACTAAATATAGACACGGTGTCCTTTAGAGCCCTGGAAATGTTACTCCATTTTTTTTTTTTTTTTTTTGAGGATTTAGAGCTGTGGAAGAAGAAGGCCAAGGCTAATCTGATTTTGGTGATTTTGCTTATAACCTGATTTTGAATTTCCTAGATGCTTTAAAAGCCCTCCTTTATTATCAATCTTCAGAAATTCCATGAGGATTTGTAGGTTTTTGTTCTCATTTGTTTTCATTATCTTTGCCTATAAATACAACATGTACTCTTGTGTTTTGGGTAGAGGAACTGGTTTGCATTAGGAAAACATTTTTTTCTGTTATTTTTCTAAAGACTGCTTCATTTCTATTTGTTCTATTATCTCTTCTTGGTATTCCAAGGAGATGTAGATTTAATCTCCTGTATACACTGTCTCCATGTTTCACATTTATTCTCATTGGTATCATATCTTCCTGCCAGTAGTTGCAAATCCAATGCCTACAGAGTTCAGTCAGGTAAAAAAAATAAATGAAGCCAGCCAGGTACAAAATTAATGAGTAATGAGGATTGTGGAGAGCAAACATCCCTTCTAAATGTGGCAGCTACCAATCAGCTGGTATTTAGCTCTAGTAAAATACAGTTGACTCCTTTTTTTTTTTTTTTTTTTTGCGGTACGCGGGCCCCCCACTGCTGCGGCCTCTCCCATCACAGAGCACAGGCTCTGGACTCGCAGGCCCAGTGGCTATGGCCCACAGGCCCAGCCGCTCAGCGGCACGTGGGATCCTCTGGGACCGGGGCACGAACCCACGTCCCCCGCATCGCCAGGTGGACTCTCAACCACTGCGCCACCAGGGAAGCCCCAGTTGACTCTTGAACAACATGGGTTTGAACTGTGCAGTTCACTTATAGGTAAATTTTTTTCAACAAATATGTACTACATAGTACTACATAGTCTGTGGTTGGTTGAATCCGTGGATGTGGAACCACAGATATGGAGGTCTGACTATAAAGTTGTTCACCGAATTTTTGACTGTGTGGAGGGCTGGTGCCCCTAATTCCTGAGTTGTTCAAGATTCCAGATTCCATTTTTCCAGAAAAAGTAAAATCTGGGTTTTAGAAAATGCAATATTCTAAAGCAGAAAAAAACAAAAAACAAAAAAAACAACTGAAAAAGAATCTCACAACTTACCATTGGGATGATCTTGGCCACATATAGAATGATCTGTTACTTCATTTTCTTCTGTAATATTGTCATCCTTTGCAGAATCTGACATCACAAACAAGCAAAATCCCTAGTCAGCATTTTTAAGCAGGAAATACAACAGCCTCCAGCACTAAAAGAATAGATCTATGTTTGGGGAAAAAAATCTATTATTTTTTAAAAATGCCATTAAAATACTTAAATATCTTCATCAATAAATAAGCTTTTCTTAAAGTACTGCATAAGATGTCTGCACAAAGTTCACAAGGTAAAAACGGTAAAGATTCGGCTAGAACATCTTTTTCACAACAAGGAAGAAAATATAAGCAGACTTTATGCATCAGTGAAAATCTTAGGAGAATTGTGCAAAAGGATATGAAAGGAAGGCAAAATAGAGAAGATTAAAGGAATATAATTTTAATGTTCTTAATGCTTCCATTACTGTTGTTGTGCATATATGGGAGCCTTGAGTCCTTGAAAAAGACAGATGTAGAGCTTTGAAATCCAGTGGTAATTAAGTTCATCTTCCTCAGGAGCTATACCAGTAGAAAGATAGCAAAGGGGGAACACAAACCTTCTGTTTTGTGCAACTTCACCCTTTCTCTTGTGTAGCACATTTAAACGTGGGATCAGCATAAGTTCATCATTTTTTTTTTTTTTTTTATTGTATGATGTATTTTACAGGAAATATGTGGCGAAAAGGATTCCAGTGACTTATGGACTCTTGCAAAGCTACAAAGCGCCCCCTGTTGGATGTTGGAGACCTCTAGGGAGGCTCTTCAAAATCCATTGGAAAGAGCAGGTAGGTAGGTCTGCTGAGTAGGTCAGCAGAAAGAAAATAGATCTTTCATTCCACAAATATTTATAAAGGGCCAACTCTACGCCAGGCACAGTTCTTGACACTGGGGAGTCAATAGTAAACAAAACAACAAATCTCTGCTCTCATAGGGGTTACAATCTAGTGGATATTTTTCATGCAGTTAAAAGGGTGGTAATCCAAAGATATCTAAAAGTCATGAGCTAATCTTGTATGCATGTGGCCACGGAGAGAGCTGGGGATGGTAGACCAGCACGTCTAATAAATGGGTTCTCTACTGAGTTCATATTCCTCAGTTGTGTTTTAACTCCCTAACAGAGCTGAATCAGATGGAATCTAAAATAAATCATTCTTGCTTTGTTTCCCTTACCCATTTTTCTCTCTCCCTCCCCAAACTAGGAGATAGCTTTAAACAATATGTTTTAGAATATTATGAGAAAGTCTGTTTCTCCAACTTGCCACAAGCAACATTTGATGGACAAGTGAGAAACCTGGGTAGTTAACATAAGATTCAAATTTAATAACCAGTGAAGCAAGTATACACCCAAAGTATATGGTTTTAATTGACTGCAAATAATTCCCCCAAGGCAACTGTTTAATTACCTGCACTGTTTCTTATTTCTTTCTGAGACTGACAATAAGTTTCAAAGTCCAAATTTGGAAGCAAAACTTGAGCACAGACACATTTCCCAAACTGTTAACTCACTCACGTCAAATTGTTTTAAATCAGCTCCCATTAAAATATGCCTTTTTAATTTTAAATCTAACATGTGGATTAAAAAATATCATTTGAATACTTTTTTCCACATGAACACTGAAAATGAACAATGACTGAAAGAAGGTACTATATGAACCAGGCTAAATTTTAATTTTGAAAGTATTTTAGTTCTACTTGTTTATAGAAAACGGTACCATTTGATATGTAGCCTTGTACAACACTCATTTCTTTCAAGATTATCCAAGATTTTGTATGTAGTTAAAATTTATTCATTTACACTTAACAATAATTCATTATATTTTCTAATTTACATAAACATTATGTTTCATGTACCAAATATGACTTAAGAAATGTCTTTTGAAAAGTGATTTACACTGAGTTTACAAGTTTATGGTCCAATGAGTCATGTAAGATGGGTGAAAGTACTTAAAAAATTAATCATTAGTCTATACCTGTTTGTCACCAACATCTGTGTCTTTGGTAAGTTAAATGACCCTTTAATTTCAATTTCCTTGAGGAGTTGCTGTAACATTGCTAAGGTACCTTCTGATCTTTTGCGCTCTAAAATATACAATGTATTTCACTGAATCCAAGATACCATCAATTGTTATTTGCACTATTATTTTGTGTAGAATCAAAAAAATGAGACCAAATGAACTATAACACACCATAAATTCTAAGAATGTGTCCTGGCTTTGGAAATAAAATATATAAAAGAGAAATATGACGTTTCAGTATATTGTGTGTGTACAGAAATATGCCTTTATGTGATGACAAGGATTTCCCATCAATATGACCCATCACCAAAGCCACAAGCTCACTTTGTCTTGTATGTGAGCCTCTTCTCCAGAAGTGTACACGCCTATTGTATGTGCAGCAATAAAGCAAGATAAACAGTATAAGCTCATGATAGCATGCACAGATAACCAGGCAGCTACAGAAGATTGTTCCACTACAGTGTCTCTATTAAAAGGGCTATGTGAACTTCCAGTCTCATGAACCTTAGCAGGACTGGTTTTGATCCTGAATGTTTTAAACCATGGATCGCATTACATTACACTTAGTCGTGGATATGAAATGACTGGAGATTTTCTGCTTGGGAGGGGATGAAAGCTGCACTATATATGTATATAAAGTCATTATTCATAATGAGAAAGAGAGAAAATATATCCAGTATATATTGTCATTAAAAGAGGGTGTTTTTTCATAGCCATGAACTACCATGAAAACTATAGTTGTATATACTAAATTCTTGAATCACCTTGGATTCACATCTTATTTAATTCTAAAAATTATCATTTGGTAATGTTCAAAAAATGTGAAAGAGTTATCACCTAATTCTGAGATTCTGTCAATGTTCTTTTAATAGCAGAGAATTTGAATTAAATTTATATGTAGATCCTGACTTTCAAAATCCTTAAGGTCAATGTCCTATTAGAGAATTTTTTCACATGCAAATATTAAATCAAATAGCCAAGCCAAAGTTCTACAGACAGAAATTCTAAACAGTAGGTCATTTTTAATGAGGTCAGTTACACATGTCTATACAGGATAGTACACATATAGATTTAAGCTGTGATGATAAATGATGATACTATTGAATTTTTAATAAACATATCTAGACTATAAATCAAAATAAATGCTCTCTATTTTGAAAATGTTCCCTTAGAACAAAAGTTCTGAACCCTAGAGCACCACTAAATATACTCTAGGGGTTCACAAACCTTTTTGAAATGATATGCAAATGTGTGCTTATATTCATATGTTCATTTTTCTGGGAGGAGATAGCTTCTGTCATATTCTTGTAGGGATCTGTGACCCCAACAAGGTTAAAAATAACTATAGAAATGTATACTCTAATGCCAGTGACACTGCCATTTTTAAAATAAATTTATTTATTTATTTTTGGCTGCATTGGGTCTTCGTTGCTCTGTGCGGGCTTCCTCTAGTTGCGGCACACGTGCTTCTCATTGCGGTGGCGTCTCTTGTTGCGGAGCACGGGCTCTAGGTGCACGGGCTTTGGTAGTTGTGGCTCGTGGGCTCTAGAGCGCAGGCTCAGTAGTTGTGGCGCATGGGCTTAGCTGCTACATGGCATGTGGGATCTTCCTGGACCAGGGCTCGAACCCATGTCCCCTGCATTGGCAGGTGGATTCTTAACCACTGCTCCACCAGGGAAGTCCGATTAACTATCTTTGAGGACATTTTCAAGCCAGGAGGTGAACAAAATCCATCTAGTAAGAGACGTAGCCCCTGACTATTATTCAGAGTAGCGGCAAGAGGTCATTTGGGTGTAAAAGTTCTAATGGGTCTGAACGAAATAAATGCCATGTGTGAATGCCTACATGTAAAATATTCTTGCTCTGTAGCGTGTCAACGTCCACATGTGAGCACCTTAGCTTGATGCAAAAGTTGCACAGAAACACAATCACCTGGATTGCCTTTGATTCTTATAAAATAGTTAAACCAAGCAAAACATTTATCCTGGTCTGTTCATTTAGCTGGTTTAATGTGTGAAGCAATTAGAATAAAGTAATTTTTCTTCCAGCTGAACAGTGTGATAATTCACTATAAACTAGAGTCTCTACAGCCGATTAGGGTCTCCTTGAAGCTTTGCAGTGATGCCCCCATACATAAAGGAAAAATATATCCTGCAATACATTCCCAGAGGATTCAGATGGCAAAGCTCAGAACTGTGCTTGGTCCCAGTGATGCTGGATACACAGGCTGAACTATGTTTACCTGAAAAGGAACTGGGTCCACAGGACAGGACATGGCCCTGAGCAGTGGGAACTGAACTATGGTTGGTCATTTGCCTCCACTACGCTCTCATTAACCCCCATTAAAAGGCAGAGAATCATTCCCAGAGCTGTGGAATCTGTGTGCTAAGTGTCTTTGAGACACACCTGCAAGAATTACCATCACGTATACTAACTTTGTTTCTATAAGAAAACATAATCCAAATTCTGAACAGTACACCTGGGTAAACCAGCTTATTCCAACACTGGAGGTGGTATTCTTCTGCAGGTTGTTTTTGAAAATATAAGCAAATAAGAAAATCAATCATGAGTGGATGGGCACTAGGTTGGAGGCGTGATTCTAGGTTTACACCTACAAGCTTCATAACTAGGAAAATCCATTCACTTTACATGCTTGCAGTTTCAGCATCTAGGACCTGAGGGTGTCAAGGCAGATAATCCCTTTTATACACTTTATAACTCTAATCTGCTGACTTGTTCAAATGATCTCTTCCTTCCAGACAGCACTTCTCTGTAAATCTGCCTACCTGTGTTGGACAGTTCTTGCACTGAGATTTTTACTGTCTATTTATAAAATAAAGGTTAATAGTGGGGGAAGTGTTGCTGTGTGATATCAGTAACACACTGGCCGCCTTTAACTCTGCAACTCGAAGAAGAATCATCACAATGCAAAACGGAACAGTTGGGTATGAAGCCGGGCTGGACCATGATGGAAAAAGAAATGCTTAATTACCCCTTCCATCAAGTTAATTTTTCCCCTTTGGCGATATAAACA